ACCTGAATTGTTCTATGATTCTATGATTGTCTGTCTTAAAAAAAGCCTTCATAATTGTCACACTCTCAATGCTGTCTAAGAAGGCAGTATTGCCATTGCAGTACAGGTCAAGCAGTGGAAGTCATGACTTATATCTTTAAAATTTGTAGTTTATAATTTAAAATGCTTTATGAAGTACATGCTATCAGTACTAGCAAGAAAATGTGTTTCTAAATGACCTTTCAGTTGCTATTTAAAAGGCAATAGACTGCAGGTAGTGAACGGTCTCAGTTAGTGAGCACTGAAGGACTATCACCATGTGGGAAATGTGGCCTAAGACAAGTTTTGATGGGTTGCAGCAGACCTCAGCTCTGGCTGTGCAGAGTTGTGCTGCAGCGCTTTGGTCCTGCTGAGCCTCCCAAGAGAGCTGGATGTTGTGTTTGAGACCCAAGGGCAGCTCTGTGATGCAGTGGAAAGCCTGGACGTGGTCGAGGCAGGCTGGATGCAGACACGTAGGTGGCTGAGAGCTGAGCTTCTGTGGCCTCACTGATCTCGCCTCTTTTTGGCTAGCACTAATATACCTTTCCTCTAAAATCACAGGAGGATTTAGTGACAATCAGAATCCATCCCTACAATGTAGGAATCACAATAAATACACCAGGGTTTACTTCAGCAGCTATTCAACTTTGTCTTTTAAACTGCGGAAGACTCTGATTTTACACCATAAATCAGTCTTTTTCTCACCAGGTGATTGTTTTGCTGCTGATTCTCAGAGAATGTATTTTGTTAGAGACTAACTGAGACTTACCTCTGAACAGGTTATGAAGGAGACGGAAAAACATGTACCCAGCTTGATATGTGCTCAATAAGTAATGGAGGGTGTCATCCTTTGGCTACGTGTACCTCAGCTCCAGGTATGATGCTCTCTTAAGGACAATAAGTGCTGCAGTGTGAATCTGGAGGAGGATTTGGTTAGGCTGAATACACTTTGTAGCAGCGTATTTAGATTGCAGCCTCTTCTCTGCCATCAGTTTTGTCTTGCCTGAACGAGCATTTAACAGGTTAGCTAAAGCCAGTAGGCCTTTCCACAAACACTGACTGAAATACATTTAGGCTTCACCAAAGAGCAAATGTCATCATAAAAATGTGGAGATCTTCACCATTTCTCTTTGATGCAGTTTTCCAGTTTCAGCTACTTTTACTATTCTTCTCCTTTCCATGAATACCCTTTGACTACTCCCACCACTTCCCACAAAGGTGGCCTTGGACTCTCAGGTACCCATGGCGAAGCAACACTAGGGATTTTTCCATGGTCAAACTGGACACTGACCAGGGAAGGTGTCAAAAGTTCAAACAGATTAGATTTATATAAAGATGCTGTTTCAAAAATGTCAAGGACCTTTACTGTCGTTGGTATTGTCATTGCAACAAGGACTGAATTCTTTTCTGTATCTTGTCTCATCTCCCAAGGACCAGTGCCATTTTGTTCCTGCACACCTGGCTACACTGGAAGTGGATATGGGCCAAACGGGTGCTCTCCTCTCAGTGATATTTGTCAGCTGCAAAACCCTTGTGCCAACGGGCAGTGCTTGGTAAGTGCTGAGCTCCTCACAATTAGTTGTAACGAGTAACAGGAGGGAGACTGGTGTGACTGAAAACTGAGTGCAGATGCACTGAAGACAATGAGACAAGGTGGGGTGGGAGTGGGAGATCAACTGATACACCCGAGGCAAACAAAGTGAGCCTCAGGGCACACAAGCCATTTCTTTGTGTTCGAGGCAGAGGCAGCGGTCCTGGCACTCATAACCTGAGAGGCTGTAGGTGGTACCTCAGGCTACTGATGAGGTGCCGATATTGGTAGGGGACAAATGATGAATGGCTGGCCCTGATGGGGCAGGGAAATAGTTTACCACATTGGGTCATAGAGGTATTACCCATGATAGAAACCTCTGCTGGCCTGTTAATGTCCAGTACAGTTAGTTATTATGAGCAACATGGTCTAGTGGAAGGTGTCCCTGCCCATGACAAGAGGATTGAAGTAAGGTCTCTTCCAACTCAAACCATTCTGTGTGTTCATAGGCTGATCTTCTGAGAGTCCTCCTGGAGTCTCAGGCTGTTTATATAGATGTGAAAAGGTGCTTCATGGGAATTGATTGTACTCCTGCTGGTAGCCAAGTGCTTTGAACCTTAACTGATTGGTGGTATGAGTTCATTCTCATGCACAGGAACCATGTCATTTGTCCACATGGACCCCATGAAGGCCTTTTGGCTTCTTCAGTGAGGTGTGCTGTGCTCAGGAAAGTCCATGCTGCAGATCTTAGAATTTTGATAATTCTGTTATGGAGGATGTTTATGATGATGATTTTGGAGAAATGTTCACAAGTGGTAAATTTGTTGTTCTGGTAGAGTCTGATTCTGTTTGTCCATGTTGGTTTACTGATATCCTCCTTTTAATGACCCTAGGAGGCATGGAGGAAATTGGACATACAATACAGACTTGGTGTAGGATTAGATTAAGGATTGACTTCAATGACCATAAGGGTCTTTTCCATTTAAAATGGTTCTGTGGTTCTATGATATGTTACCTTTACCTTTTTGTATGTGAAAGGAGATGATCTCCTTACCTCCACTCCACCCCTTACCAGCATTCCTTGCTTTTTTTTTCTGTAGGTACCTGTTGTCTTTTTACCCAGATATTTAACAGGGGCTTTTGTGACCAGATCTAATCTCATTTTTTTCTGACTGTTTAGAAACTATTTATTTTAATCAGTCTACTAAAAGTAGTTGAATTGACATCCTTGGAAGCATTTAAAAGCCATTTAGATATGGTGCTCAGGGACATGATTTAGAAGTAGGCCTGATAGTTAAATAAAGGTCAGGCTTGGTGATCTAGAAGATCTTTTCCAACCTAAATGATTCTATGATATTTTTTTCTTTCCCTAAGTATATCCTAACATACAACTGTAAGCAATCATGGCTACAATCCACATCTGGAATATGGCTACAATACCACATCTGGAATATTGTGTCCAGTTCTGGGCCCCTCAGTTTAAGAAGGATAAGGAACTGCTGGAGACAGTCCAGCGTAGAGCAACCGATATGATTAAGGGAGTGGAGCATCTCCCTTATGAGGAAAGGCTGAAGGAGCTGGGTCTCTTTAGTCTGGCGAAGAGGAGACTGAGGGGTGACCTAATTAATGTTTATAAATATGTAAGAGGTGAGTGTCACGAGGATGGAGCAAGCCTCTTCTCAGTGACAGCCAATGGTAGGACGAGGGGTAATGGGTTTAAACTGGAACACAAGAGGTTCCACCTAAATTTGAGACGAAACTTCTTCTCAGTAAGGGTGACAGAGCACTGGCACAGGCTGCCCAGGGAGGTGGTGGAGTCTCCTTCTCTGGAGACATTCAAAACCCGCCTGGATGCCTTCCTGTGTAACATCGTCTAGGTGTTCCTGCTCCGGTGGGGGGATTGGACTAGATGATCTTTCGAGGTCCCTTCCAGTCCCTAACATTCTGTGATTCTGTGTGATCCTGTGACACAAACTACTATATAAAGATAATAACAGTCAGATACTTCACTAATGGGATTACAGAAGCATCTAATAAAACAGAGGAACAACAGACCTGTGTTTCATCAGCACAATTACAAATGAAATGTAATATTAAGTAAATATCAGGCAGTTCAGAAAACGCCTTTTTGCCTTTTAGAGCAGTTTTTGGAGCCCTGAATACATATTGGAATCAATACTGAAGCATCATACTGAAAAATCTCTATTCAGGACACAGGACATGAACAGAGGATGCAAAAGAGAATATAGCACATTGTATGTCATCAAAGATGGGATTGTTAGCATGTACCTTGGAATACTATGTACTGCTATACCTGTAAAAATTGTGTCTATTAAACAAGAAATATAAGGAAAGAGGACATATTAAATTAAAACAGAGGTATGGAAAGACTTAGTTATAATGAGAAGCAGCACAGTTTGAGACAAAAGAAATGAGAGACATACAGAATAAGGAATAATACAGACAAGGCAATTAAATTGTTCCCATTTAACATTTTTCAGGATGAAAATGAAAGTTAACAGCCTACATAACTGCAGTGCAGACTTCTCAGAGAACAAGCTTGAGTTATTTATAAACTACTCTTATCTTGACTTGCTGTTTATAAGGTTTAGATAATACAAATGACTTGTTTCTAAGGTGATAATTTCAGAGCCAAGAAAACTTTTCTGAATGGCTAAGTGAATACAGATTTTGAATTTTTAGAAAGTAATTTTAAAAAGCCCTGCAAAGAAATAATAGAAAAATCAAAGAGCTAATTCCATTAGGCTTTAGTTTTGTTTTGTTATTCAGCAGTGACCATTAAGGTCATTAAACTCCAAAGTTTTTATTCTTTGTACCAGTATCTCCACATAAAATAAGCATAAATATCAGTCTTCCTGCCAACTACATTGATTCCTTCAAGTGACTCATGCTTACTAAGTTTATTACATTTGCTTATACCTGTAGGCAGTGATCTCTGGATATTTCTGCCTGTGTAATGCAGGCTGGACAGGCCCTAATTGTACGGAGAACATTGACGAATGCATTAGCAACCCGTGCCAGAATGGAGGGACCTGCACCGATGAGGTCAATGGTTACTCCTGCGAGTGCACCAGTGCCTGGACAGGACCACAGTGCCAGACAGCCCAGCAAGGTATGGCCAGCACCTTCTCGCCAGAAGAAATGGGCCACCAGGCTTCAGCGAGTGGTTGCTTGGTGTATACAATTAATATGCAAATAAGGACCAAGTTATGATGGAAAAACCAGTCCTCTTCTTGGTAGATTACAGGCCTGATCCAAAGTCCCTTGAAGTCAGAGTTTTCCATGACTTTTGTTTATAGCTGCTTTGTTTGGCATCGGGAGGGTAACAGTGAAGTTGATCTGCAGGCTCACTGGCCTTGGCTAGGGGCCAGATATCCTAAAATCAGATCTCTGTTCCTGAGAAAGTGGTCTGGTAAGCTAGTTAAGAAAGAGGATCTGATATAAGGGGAACAGATTTACAAGGGAATATATTAATGATTCTCTTTTGTGCACACTATTTCATTTGTTGCAAGGTTGAGAGGTCCTGACAGTTCTAGTCCAAGTGAAAAGGTAGAAAAGGTTTTCAAACAGAAATTTAGTGAAATAAATGTTATCCATGAAAATGAGGAACTCTGAGTTTATAGAGTGACTGCAATGTCCTGCCTTTAAGATTTCTTCTGGTTTTCTGTTTGTTTGGGATTTTTTTTGCCATTAATTTTAATTAAACAAAGTCAGGATAGCATTCCAGTGAGCATCCCTGTGGCAACCATCTGTCAGCTCATTTTCATTGCAGGTTGCTGTGAAGAAAGCAGATTAACTTTTCACAGAATACAGAATGTAAAACTTGCACTGAGCCCTGTGAAATCTGCTCTGTTTTAGAACTACTTCATGCTCTTTCCTATTTTCCTTAAATATTTAACCAGTAATGTTTTATTAAGCATACGTGGAAGAAACATTTTTAACCATTCATAGTAGAAGGGATAGAAAAACAGTTTTTATCTGGTGAGAAATTATAATGTATCAGCTTTTGGTTTAATGCCTAGTCAGGCAAAAAATAGTACATTTTATGACGTGATAATTCTGAATCTGGTTAAAAAATGGTGAGATGGTTTTAGATGAACTCTTCAAACAAAATTATTTTCTTTTTACCATTCCTTAAAACAAAATACTGCAGTTTGCTGAGAATTTAATGTTTCTTTAGCATCAGTCTGATGTTTAAACTACAGCTGCTTGTTGTACACTGCAGGCTATATTGCACTGTATTTTGTGTGCTTTATGGATATATTTTTCTGTAGCTGTTTGGGATTCCCAGTTCACAGCTCCTATTCATTGAATGGCTCAGTGGGAGAAGAAACCATGGTATATCATGAGAGGTATTATCAGGACCAGAAATCTGACACTCAAAAATAAATGGGACAATAAAACATCTGAAGGATAATTTCTGTGATGCATCACTGCTGAGAAATAAGTATCATGTTAACTTCAAAAAGTTATTTTGTTGAATGTGAAAAATTTAAAGATTCAGTCTGGAGGTAGCCTTCTAGAAACAAACTAGTTCATTAATATTTTTTTCTGAGACAAAATCAACATCTTTTAGTGGTATCCATATATTCCAGCTGAAAATTTTTGTTCTTTCTCCAGGAACTACTTTTCTCTCAGGGAGTATTTTTGCTCATTTTTTGTGATGCCATTCAACTTTAGAGGAAATCCTGCGGTGCCTGTTATAGAAGTATCTTTCACCCATGTTTTAAGCATTTAGGAAGCCAAAGCTGTGGAAGAAAGACAGGTTTTGTTTGAGTCTGTGTTGTGATAGCACAAATTAATCAATTTAATTTTCTCTCTCTTTCTGCAGTTTGTGGAGGATATCTCTCAGACTCCAGGGGCACTTTCAGTTACCCTAACAACCCCAACAGCCAGCAGTACAACAGTGGGGTCAGCTGTGCTTGGGTTGTTCAAACTAGTCCCAACAAGGTAAAAGAAAGTTTGGGTTAAAGAAACCCTTACTCTGCAGGACCCATTGGCTCATCAGAGCAAGCCTGACTAACTTTGTGCCACATATTCCAATACCATGATCCAATCCCTTCAGAATAACTAGTTTTTCAAAAAGACTAAGTTTCAAGCTTCAGGCTCCTTGGCCTACAAATTTGCCTGGGTTACATTTTCAAGGCTTTTCCTTTGCAGCGAAGGGTTAGAATATACTGACCTACCACCTCCTGGAAAAGGTTTTATGTTGCTTTAGCATGTGATCTGTGAATAGCTGCATGAAAAAAGCTCTTTTCTGATGATCCCCAAAGTTAGTTTTTGAGCTAAGTAACTCCAGAATAATTTTATGTTTCTGATTTCTGAGCACGAGAAATGTGGAATGCTGAATTCATATTGTCAATGGCTTTGTGTAATAACATCATCTGAATTCTTTTAAGGGCGAATTTTTAGATGTTGCACTCAAATGTATATTCTAATTCTGATCTGCAAATAACTAACTATTTGTGTTATAAATAGTAACCGCAAAATATGTTACTTCACATTTTAGCATGGGACTTCTTACTTGGGCTCTAAGTATTTGCTCTATTTTTAATCTGTGTTTGATGGTGGTTTATACATTATGTATATATATGTGACATATTCTCATCTTTAAGCCTGAAAGCCACTACTGCCTTCAGCAAGAGCCTTATCAAAGCATATCTGTGAGGAGTCTGAACACATGTAAAGCTGTGTATGTCATTAAGTATCTAGAGTTGTGTTAAGAGATACTGATTTTATATGTGCAAAAAAAAAAATTTAATTTTTTTACTCCCATGACAATGTTTTCAACATAGCAAGAATGAGAAATGTTAATGGGAAACCTGCAAAAAGTATTTAAGACTTTATGTCAAGCCTTTTGTTTATATATTTTACATATATAACAGATGCAGGTAAATGGTCTCAATTATTAGTTTATAGAAAAAATGCTCTTTCTGTCAAAATTCTTTCCTATCTAGCCTCTCTATCTTTTTTTACCCTTAAGATTCTGTAGTGGCTTCTTCTGTTCTGGAACTTTTCAGGAAATGGCATAATGGCTCCCAAGCTCATAGATTCTCACAGCTGCATGAACAAATACATCTGCTCTGTGCAGAGTTACAGCATAAGCACTGTCTCAGCAGATGAAAAAACCCCTACATTTCTTATTTTGCTACTTCCTGTTAGATTCTGCGTATTATTTTCCCATTCTTCCAACTGGAGACAAGTAATGACTGCAATTCTAACTTCCTTCAAATCCATGATGGGCCTTCAGCGTCGATGCATATGCTGGGAAAGTACTGTGGCTCCTCACCTCCTGCAGAGCTTTTCAGTTCCCACAACTCCCTGTATTTTTGGTTCTACTCAGACCACACCATTACAGCCGGAGGTTTTACTGTTCAGTGGGAATCTCGGGATCCTGGTAAGTTTGATGAAACGTCATGTACTTTAGTGTCTTCATGGCTCTGGAGCAAAATGAATAACATTTCTTTTGATTAGGAAACATTAGGAGCAGTAGGACAGGTTTTTACTAGGGGGCGAGGCTGAAATGTAGATATATATATGTAATTTTAAAATATTTAAACTCCAACTCTAGGCCTCTGCACAAATAACCTTCTGCTGGTTTTAAGGCTGCTGTGTACATCCTATGAGGAGTTCTCCAAGGAGCACGTGTTCCTGGAAATGCTGGTTTTTTTATTAGTTCTCTTTTCTCACAGAAGTATCTAGTACTTTGAGCAGGAAAGTTGCCATTTTTTGTCACTGACAGTTTCCAAGAGGCTAAAGAGGTAAACTATGCTTTCCAAATATGATAGACTGTGGGGAATAAAATTTTTAAATTATCTGTGAGCTTTTTGGTGTGATTTGCTGTACATTCTGCTTGAATTCTTGGTAATGCCACTTGTGTGATTCTTCCACAAGGCCTGGCAGTGCGTTCCTAGAGATAAATCCCAAATCGTCTTGTGCAACGTCAAGCTCACTTCAGTGCTCTGTGCATTGTCTAGAAACAAAATAATGCATTGGGTTGTGTCTTGAAAGAAGCATAGAGTATAAAATATATATTGAAATGTTTTTAATTTGATTTTTTTTTCTTTCAATTAACTTTACTAGACAGATTGATACTTAGTGATGAATATAGATACTAAAAAGTAAAAAAAAAAATCGTTTAGGGAAAAAAAAAACAACAAAGAGAGGGAGATGTATAGATGTGACTAAACTAGCTATTCCTTAGGTACAACATGCAAGTTAACTGTACCACTCCCAGCTGTTATGCTGAGAGATATGAGATTTTTTTATTGCAGATATATAAAAAAGCCTTCCCCATATATATTTTTTTAATTAAAAAAGTCATGTGCATGGAGAATATTTACAAAGTACAGAAATTCAGATTAATTTTTGTAAATCCAGTCCAAAAAACAGTGCTTTTGATCATTCACACAGAGATATTTCCATCATAACTGGGGAAGAATCTTTGTTTTACTATGCACATCAAGGAATATTTGAAGTACTGTTTTTATTTATTTTCTGCTTTTATTTAGCTACAGAAAGAAGTAACTTGTTGGTTTATTTGGCTTACTCTTATTCACTATAGGAGAATTTATCTTCCAGTCTGGCATGTAGTGTTAAAGACTGTGTTCTTCCATGTTTCTTTTCTCTTAGAATGTGGTGGTGAGCTAACGGGTACTTACGGCTCGATCAGTTCTCCAGGATACCCTGGTAACTATCCTGTAAACAGAGACTGTTTCTGGACCATCTCAACCAGTCCTGGCCTCCTCATCACATTTGCTTTTGGCACACTGAGCTTAGAACACCATGAAAACTGCAGTTATGACCATTTAGAGGTAAAATTTAATTGTGGTTTATGACAACATTTAATGGCTATGTTATTGCAAAACAAGATAATTCAAAACTTTTTGTACATACGGAAGAAGACTGACTGAAAACAGGGTTGCAATGCTCATTTTAAATGCTTATTCCACCCACCAGTGCACACTAAGGTACAGACAGTGTAAAAGAAAGAGGATGATAATTCCCCTCCACTGAAGTCAGTGGAAGTCTTCCAACTGAAGCGGATGGGATTCAGGCCAAATACCTGATGGAAAGTGTTCGCTTTCTTACAAAGTTCAATCTCCAAATTCCTTGTCAAATGTCAACCCACAGCGAACTTATCAGCCTAAGGAAAACTAGTAGGGAGAGGCATCTAAGATTAGTAGATTCATATTGTAGTGCAGTCCATGACTTGATGTGTGGGCTTAGTGTTTTCTCAAGTGCAAAGTAATGGTTACAGAATTCACCAATAACCAGTCACAGAAATGAGAAGGTGGTTTGCAGTAGCACGTTCTCTAAAATTGTGCGATGCAGAACATGATTTCAGGAAAACGATTCAATGGCAGGTCTCCTGATGCTTTCTTGCCCTTTCACAAAACCTTTGATGACTCTTCTAGGAGCGCCCTCACAGCCATGCTGGTGAGTCTGTTTCTTGGTTCCTGTGTGTTTGGAGGCAACTTCCTACGAGCTTTCCCTCCACCCAGCATCTAAAACATCTCCTGGGGCCCCTGAGATAACTTTAAAAGTGTTAGTACTGTTCACAGTTGGCACTCATCTAGCAATCCTAAACACTGATTTGTCATTCTGTCTAGATTCGAGATGGTCTGCTTCCACAAGACCCCGTCCTTGGCAAATACTGTAGCACTGGGTCTCCACACCCACTCCAGACTACTGGTCCGTATGCATGGATTCACTTTCACTCTGATAACTTAGTTACTGATAAAGGCTTCCACATCGTCTATACAACATCTCCTAGTAAGTAAAATTCAGCATTAAAGGTTGGTCTGTTACATTCCCAAGTTATAGCCAACAGCATACAAATGGGTGTTACTAACACTTGGTATTTGATAATACAGAAAACCTCTTTGATTTGCAGCCATTGTACTGAGGCAGCCTAAACTGAAGAGTTACGTTACTTGTGAGTATCTCAACTAATGTGTTGTTTTTTTTCTTAATATAGCTGATCCAAATTGTGGAGGAAATTACACGGATAGTGAAGGGGTTATCATGTCCCCTTTCTGGCCTAACCCTTATATCAACAACCGACAATGTATCTACATTATCAGACAGCCAGAGGATGAAAAAATACACCTCAACTTCACGCATGTGGAGCTGGAAAATCACACTGGTTGTTCATCGAATTATATTGAGGTGACTTCTCTTAATCAGTTGATATGATGGATTGATTACGTGTGTATACAAAAGCATGCCACATAATTTCTGTCCTAAGGGCTGCTGCAGAAAAAAAAGTTAGTCAAAGGACTAAATATACCAGTTTATTAGGGTCCAAAAGTCACAGAGGTTAAAAGAGCTGAACTGTTCATTTGGAATGAAGCAAAGATAAGATTACAAGAAAATCTGTCTAGCTTAACACTAATTCTTAATTGGCTATATGTAATTAAGGTCAAGTTCAGACCTTTGGTAAAGGCATGCCAAATGTAAGAAAAATAGAAATAATGCCACAGCCACCATGCAGCGTTTTCTGAAGTGATGTGTTACATTGAAAACGTTGTTCTGGGGCAAAAAATGAAGCACATTGCATATATATGTATGTACAAATGTACATATATACATGTGTAAAGCCAGGAGTTTGTTAGTATCATTTAAATCTTAGAAGTCTGGTTCAAGAATTGTTATTAGTCAAAAACTAGTTATTACAGAAGAAATAATAGTACAGTTAGAATGCTTCTGTATGGAGGATGTAATAATAGTACGACTTCAATGATTAGGTTGATGCTATCTGGGATCACCTTGAGGTTATTTTTATGTTTGCTAAAGTCTTTTGCATCTAGCTCTTTCTTTGTTGGTCTGCAGCTTCATGTTGCATCCAAATTTGCTGCTATAGGGTGCCTTTTAATTATGCTGGGTATCATTCCGTTGTTTTCTTTGTTATCCCTTAACCTAGTTCCATCCAGTTCCAGGTCTGCATTTGTTTAACTGACCACAGATGAGGTTTGTCGTGGTGCTGGGGAGGCCATGAGGGCAGAGCCCATGGCTGGGTAGGGCTATGGGCAGCTGGAGACCAGCGCTGCTGCAGGGACAGGGGCTGATGGCCCCAGGGGGCTGACAGGGCGTCCTGGGCAGGGTGTGGGGACCCTAAGGGAGTCCGGTGAGCCCTGATGCTGCCTGAAGGACCTGACAAGCTCTTTATGTCAGTGGCTCATGTGCTTTCTCCCTTCACCCCATCCCTGAGCTCTTCTGTGCCACACCCTGACTCATGAGGTCTCAAGATGTCTGCTGTTGTACCCGGCATCTCTTTCTCCATACGGCCATAAATGACTGCTGGGTGGGTACTGCAGTTTGTGTAAAACTGTGCTTGTACCACACAGAGGCAAACAGAGACAAACTGAACAGGCACGGACAGCCAGTTGATTAGCAAAGGTGCTGCCACAGCTGAAGCGGGTGGGAGAAAGCCCTGGGTTGGGTCCTGCAGTTACATGGCTGCGGGGTTTGATTTTGTGCTTAATCTGTTCTTGACCAAGAGAGGAACAGGGCTGTGTGAGCCCCATGCAGTTAATCTGTTTTTAAAAGATGTTATTGTGCTGACATCGTTCCTTTCCCTCCTCCTCTAATTCAGAGACTTCGGTTGGAATGAAGTGTAATTAATTTCTGAAATGAGAGGGGAAGTGTGTGTAATGAAAACAGGCAGCTTTTGTTTGTTTGGCCTGGTACTCCTCTTGCCTAATTGCTGGCAGAACAGCAGCTAAATTCACCGCAGCCAGAGAAACAAAACCATTTCTGTTGGACGCAATCAGTTTGTATTAGTTCAGCAAGGCATTTACCTCGCTGTTTGCTGATCAGCCACAGGCCTTTCAGTTTCCCTACATTTCTGTGCTCTTCTTCGTCCTGCCCTCTCACTCACTGGCTCAGCACAGAACGGAGAAACAGGACTCACATTTTCTAACTAGGACAGTCAGTACGACTAAGGCACTGTGCTCTTTTATCAAGGCCTGGTTTTCACATATGCTTTTCTAAAATACTCTCTCTCTGGGTTTTATAATGTAGTTCAACGAGGGAGATAGCTTTTGGGTCTTCAAATTACTGTAGACTTCACTCTCTGACAATTGGTTTGTTGCTTTGAAAAGGCACAGATTATACCAGGAAACCTGCAGAGTTTTCACAGGGCCAAGCACAGCTCACAGGTGCTTGCTCAGGGAGGGATGTTTAGTCTCTTACTGAGGAAGGAACAGCCTGGGAGCAGTAATCTGTAATAAGAAACTAGAGATAATAAAGCTTCTTGTTTAAGAAACTCTGACATAGTGCTGCAGACATAAGGCATTAACTAAGGCAGCTCCTTGTCATCCTTCTAACTGGCCAAAGGAGATATAATGTGATTTAGAGAACTTGTTATTTTTATCACTACTCAGTTTTATAAATCAAAAACGTAAGGAGAATGAGATCAAGAAAAAAATATAAATTTCTGTGAACTATACTTCTGGAAAATTTCATTGCTGTTTAAAGATTTCTAAGCATTCTGGCACAAATTCTGATCTCAGTTGCTCTGCTGTAAATCCAGAATAATTCTGTCACTTAAAACTCACATCTCAGGGAAATTTAAAAATACCTGCTAGTCAAAAAGCCATCTCACCAGCTGGAGTTTGCCAAAGTTGGGCAAGCAAGCCAGCCACTGTCTACTCACTGGGGCACTGACGAGGGTTCCTTGCCTTGTCTCCTAGCCCTTGGGGAAATACAGCTGAGGAAGAAAGAAGTGATGAGAGAGGACCTGAAAACTGAATGTCCCTTGCTTTCCCGATGATTTTATTGGAGCCGTTTTTCAGGGTTAACAGAATATACATGCATGAGCCACCATAACTTTTACAGCAGACAAGAGCTGTTTTGTTTTCAGGAGAATCATTGGGAGAAATAATTGTGTGGGGTTTTTTGCCTGTGCAAATAGCATGAGAACTGTCTTTTGGACCTCGGCTTGTTGGCTGCCCTCTTGGAATGAGATGGGAACCTCAGAGGGTGTTCAGTGCTCTGCCTGGTCCCCTGGGTGCTCCTATTCTTACTCTGGACTGAAGTTCAGGGCCTGAAGTTCAGAGGTGCTTTTTTTCCCTTCTAGTCCCCTTGATAATTGGGATTTATGATCAACTTTTGGGAAAGCACGTAAGATACATTTTGATTAGCAAATTGATTGAGGTCAGCAGAGTGGCAGTGTAGAAGGTAAAAAATGGAAGTGATTCCCTGATGTAGCTTCATTATCATTAACATGCATTGGACCCCTCAGATAATGTAATGGAAAGATGTCAGTATACCTCTACTGCTTTAGGAGCTCAGAGCTGCATCTACTGTTAGTGTGAACTGTCTGACTGCATTGATGTATGGGTGTGACGGGACATGTGCTTGTTCTGAAGAAGTGTCATTGAAAACCCACTAGAAGCTTCAAGGCCAGAGCAAGAAAATCACAAACACCCTCCCCCCTCCCTTCCTTTTTTTTCTCCCAGCAGATTTTAGTGCTGGCAAAAATTTCAAGCTCTCACTGGTGCGCACCTTACCTATCTCTTTCATACTAAAGGTGTCATTTTTGGAGGCGTAGGACCAAATTGCACTAAAGCTGTGGTTCATATGGAAGATCTGTTTCACCCTAATGCACTGTGACAGTAGCATGTGCATGGCTCTTTTGTGATGATCATCTGATCTTTCCTTTGAACTCTTGTAAATCATGTGCTTGTGCCAATTACTGTAATGGCTCTTTGCCCTTCTTATAAATAAGTAAAATAGTTACTGCTTTGTTATTTAGCAGCTATTGTGAGATTCTAATTTTATTCAGATATCAGATCCCAACATGTTTATGATCTGATAGTTTTTTGTTTTTCTTTCTGATGACTAGGTTCGAGATGGCGGCAGTGAGATGTCTTCTCTTATTAACAAGTTCTGTCATAGTACATTTATGCCACCAATCACTTCCACCAGCAACAGTCTCTGGATCAAATTCAAGTCTGATCCTTCTGTGCAAAGGGCTAGCTTCAGGGCCATTTATCAAGTTGGTAAGAGAAGTTGGTAAGAACTGGTGACTTGCACAGTGAACTGATCTGTAATGTGGACACTTCCAGTCATTTCCATGCTGTATTATCCATATAATGTGCTTAAGACAAACTTCAAAAGAAATGCAAGAAAAAAATAGAGTCAATTTATGTATCTGCTTCTACTTTTAGAAATGGTAAGATGATGTCTGCAGTAGGTCTGTTGTAGGCACTGATTGCATGCCTGTAAATTCTCTCCTCATTGCTTCTATTAATGAAAAATCATCTACCACTGACATACAAAAGATGATATAACTATAATTCTACCTAAATATTTTTACATTCATTTTTCCTATCTTTTCATTCTTATTCACCAACAAACATCTGTGTCTGTGAAACAAATGCTTCAAATCTCTTAGTTTTCATGGGCACTGTTAGATTGGTCTTCTGTGTATATACATGTTTATAGCAACATGTTCTTTTACATATATTCTTAATATTACTTGGATAATGTATAGTAGATGATGGAAGATAGGTTTTTATGGTAATTTTCTTCTAATTTTGTAGTGATATTTTGGTGTTTCTTGGCAGCCTGTGGAGGCCTCTTGCATGGAGAAGGAACTATTCATTCACCTTACTACCCCAGGATGTCCCCTCACCCAAAGACCTGTGAATGGATCATCTCCCAGCCAGATAGTAAAGTGGTGGTTCTTAACTTTACTGACTTTGACATTCGAAATACAACCACTTGTGACTCAGACTACATTGAGGTAAAGAACAACACACATATACTGTGAATAGCAGATAGATTCGTATCTGCGCGTTCTTTCTTATATTTGTCTCCACCAAAGCAGAACTGCTTGACAGGCAAGAACTTCTTACAGCAGTTATAAAAGCTTTTCCAGGTTCATAATAGGATTCCAAACCTTTTCTTGTTTCTCCAGAGATGATATGACCATTTTGATAATCAGGACAAGTATTAAGTGTCTTTAAATAAACAGACCTGATTTTGGATATGTACGAGCCTCAACTTAGTGTTGAGGGTCTAAGATCTGAGCTTTTCTCCACCTGACAGGCTTTGGGTGGGAAAGTGCTTCTCTGGCAGTCATAAGGTTACATTATATGTGCCTGTAGGCTGAAGAAAGGGTGGAGTCTGACTTAGTAAGAATCTCTTTTATATGTTTGTCATTTATGCTTAAAACTTTGATATAATAGACATTTGTATAGGATATTTTGAATACACTATTCTTCAGGTCAGAGATGGCAACAACACAGACTCTCCTCTTTTGGAGAAATTCTGTGGCACAGCTGTACCAGCTAGGGTGCAATCCACACGGAACAATCTCTATATCAAATTCAGAGCTTCCTCTCTTACCAACCTTGGCTTCAGAGCTCAGTACTGGCCACTAGATACAGGTAAGGATCTTTTTTTTGTAATTTTCTGTGTAGAGTGTTGGGACTTTCCAAATTTTCCTGTATGCTGAAAACAGTTGGCCATCAAGTTTTATGATGGTGTAATAGGAGATAAATTCTGAATCAGTTACTATTGAATATGCAACGAGGAAAAAAAAAGACGACAAAATTTCAGAAAGAAGAGTAACCAATTTTATAAGTGCCTAACTTCTGTAAAAGTGTATTATTTAACCTGATGTTTTAAATCTCAACAGTATGTGGAGAGACTCTCACCGGAGCAGAAGGAACCATTACAAGTCCTGGACATTCAGATGTCTACCCACATGGTATTAACTGTACCTGGATTATCAACATTCAACCTGGATACCTTATCCGCCTGACATTCACTTCATTTAACTTGGCATTTGATTACAACTGCAGAAAGGATTATCTTGAAATATATGACAACAGCACTGTGCAAAAATTGGGAAGGTGAATATGTCCATTAGCCTACAGAGGTGAATTACTGTAGAGTGAGCCCCATTCTGAACATCTTGACATCCAATTTGCTCCCTTAACTTTTTTGTATATATTCATTTCTCTGTACTACAGAAACAATAACAGCAATTTCTCTGTCTAGGATAGTAAAGGCAGCTTGCTTGACCAAGGAATGAGAAGCACATTTTATTAAATATGAGAACTAAATTGTGTCAAAGGCACAGCTTTTTTGAGACAGGTTTCTAAAGCTGGCATTGTCCAACTCCATCAATATTTTGATTTAGGGGAAATAAGTTCAAAAACATTAATATATCTGTGCCCAGGAAAAGACATGTTTCTACACTTGTAGAAGTGATATTCAATTTGGGGTATCTTTTGCTGCAGGTACTGTGGAAGATCAATTCCACCTTCTCTCACTAGTGGTGGCAACATAATGACGTTGTACTTTGTGACTGATCACAGCATTGCATCTGAGAGCTTCTCAGCTAATTATATCTCCCTGGATGCATCAAAAGGTAATATGTCAGTTCGTTCATTATGCAAATTAAATGTTTTCAGCTGTCACTGTAAATAACCACTATAAGAAGCAGAAACATTATTTTCTGTGTTAACAGAAGTCTGCCTGGTGCTTCTTCTACCCCTTCTTATTTATCCTGTTTTATTCATAAGCATTTTTTCTTCCTAGGAAAGCAGAAAGCAATTTCTGTAAGCAGCACTGGTGCTTTCTTTAAAAAGGCAGTAACAGCTGACATGGCAGAACTGCAGGAATTAAGAAAAGTATTTTCTGAACTTGCTTTGTCTGTTCCGTCTGAGCTGTGTGCTCAGACAAAGCTAAGCTAGGAAGCTTAGCAATTGTGGACAACTCACTTGAATGAGAGATTTTCAAGTGCCATAAAAATTAATTTAGTCTCTATTAAGGTGCAATGTTGATGCTGGGCAGATAAAGCCTGTATAGGATGAAATTTGATAAAGCAGCAGAATAACCTGAAAGCACAAGCTGTTTTTCTCATTACAACCAAGTGCAGTGTTTCTGTCTACAGAAGAGTTCAAAGCTCCTGTGTTGCCTTAAATCTGTTAGGTGCCTCCTTTTAAGTGGCCAAGACATAAATCAGTGGGATAGAGATAACTGAAGAGAATTCATTCCCCTACTTCTCTAAAGCAGAGAAAAACTGAGAAATTACTCTGAATTCTAATTGCTGTGAAGGATTTCTAGGCTAGAGGCACATCTGTGTTTTCAAAGTGTGCTGAACCCATCATGCCTGATTCAGTGTTTGCACATCTCTCCAGCGCCGACAGCATTTTAGCAGTGACTGAGCCGCACTTGAAAAAACAGCCTCTTGGTGAAACACTGTAACTACCAGCTTCGTAGACCCAGCAGATTTAGGTCTGCTATCACTCCCCTCACTGCTAGACACAGATCTGTGGCAGAAGAGCATTTATGTGGGATTATGAAGGATGCAGAATTAAGCCACAGAAGAGACAGAGTGAGACTATTAAAAAAAAAGTAAAAATGAGAATACATTTGTAGCTGTGTTATTTGTGTATCCATCATGAACCAGTTTCCAGGTGGTTTGTGTATGGGAGCAGAGGCCATGAGGGATTTATTAGGCGAGTACTAGAAACTCATAATACTTGTCTATGAAGCTGTAAACTAGCAATGGCTGCCCAATGTTTGTTCTTAGTTTCTTTAAGAATTTTATTTTTCCTACTTTCTCAGTTTCTCCAACCTGTTTAAAATGAGCAAAATTTCCAGTGTCTACTGTGTGAAAAATAACTTCTTTCTTGGTGACAGCTTGGAAAATTTGACTATTATTTCATCTCTCAAGCATGTGTGCAGGCCAAGGCTGGTACAGATTTTGTCACTGTCCTCTTTTTTCACTACCAGATAACTTACAAATCCGAAGAACCAGTTTTCTCAACTGCCTTCATTCATACTTGAGTAACCTATCATGGAAACCAAAAAGCCAGTAAAAACAATTAAGACTTAACAACAACTATTCCAGGGAGGAAATTTCTATTTGATAGAAAATAATAAACCAAAAGCCAAGTTATACTTTCAAAAATCTTTCCAAGAAAGACTCTGTAGTTTGAAAACTGAATTCTGACTAGTGAGAAATTATGAAATTATCAGTCCTATGAAGTCTTTAATGAGCCTGGTTTTGCAACTGCAAACTGTAAGTTCTGTAAATATGTCTGTTGCTTGTTCAAGTGGTTTGTTTTGGTGTTTTACTTTACCTCAGATCAATATTTCATTGTTGGATCCGATTCCTTCCTAAATAGCAGCTCTTCTCACAATTCACAGAATCACAGAATGTCAGGGGTTGGAAGACACCTCAAAAGATCATCTAGTCCAGCCCCCCTGCCAGAGCAGGATCACCTACAGTAGGTCACACAGGAACACATCCAGGCAGGTTTTGTGGAACCTTCTATGCTCCAGCTTGCACCCATTGCCCCTTGTCCTGTCATTGGATATCAAAATACTCTTTATTCAACACTAACCTGTATTTCTGTCTCTGTGTAACCATCTCTGTTTCTCTGGTTTTGTTAGTTGTCTCACTGCCGTCCCGTTTCACCGCTCTGCCTCTTCTTCTCTCTTCCATATTCTCTTCCTTTACTACCACCATGGTGATTGGATTTTCTCAACTTTTATCCAACGCATGGCTATATGCATCATGTGAGGTTCAAACTGCATCAGTGCTATCCCTGGAATGGTTTCAAATTATGCCTTAAAAATGCAAGCGTGTTTTCTCTTCAATGCTCTTAACAACTAGAAACTGCTTAAAATGTTTCTGTGAAACTAGAACCACATACTATCTTCATCTAAACTCTAAACAACAGGTATTATTTTCTTTTGCAATAATTAACACAGATATTTTTACTGCTTTTAAGCTAAAATGGGCTGACTCTCAGTTTCTCCTCACTCTGACCTAGAACAATGATCTCTAGAATAAATGCTTTTTCATTTCAACACCATAGTTTCTGTAAATATGGCAAAGCAGCAGGTAACTACTGAAACTGTGAGTAAGAAACTTATTAAGAATTTGAACTATATTCTGGTTTTTTTACAGAGATTTGTTTCAGTTGGTCCCAGCGCAAGCATAGCAGTACTATAAAGTTGTCATAAATACTGGACTGCTAGCATTCTTTTACATTAAGAATAAGGTGTTTTGGTGCTTCTTTGGCCTGAGAGAAAGCAAACACATGTATGTGGACTTTTCTGTGACAAGCAGCTCCCCACTTCCCTCAAACCATATCAAGTTTTAGTTTTCCCACTGTGAGATGTTTAGGCCTGATATTCGTCTTATGTATATCCAGTTACACTAAGGTAGCAAATGACTGAACATAATTACATCTGAGAGATTTACCAAAGCTATGGATTTATTTATTTTTCTCTACATCTGCTGCCTGTTTTCCTTTTTCTGCTAAGGAAAATATGGTTCTAATAATGTTTCTTGTGCAGTAAGAATCTGTCATATTTTTGAGCTATGTTTTCGTAGCCAGCTAGAATGTAATCAATATCAGAACTGGTCAAAGCTGTTCTGGTTCATATTAGACATTTTAACAGGCTTTTGCCTGAAGTTATTTTACAGAGAATGAGCTATTGAAAAGATGGACAAGATTATCCTCCCAAAAAGAATAAATAGGAGTGGAAAAAAAAGGATAAGTGGGAGCAAAACCAGTATTTTTATGTAAAACTGATTTTCTTCTCCATGCATCTTAGCAAACAATGCTCTTGTTAGAATGGTTTATCTGTGATATATTAATTGGTTGAAAACTAGCTTAAAAATAATGGCAAAGCTGTATTTCCTGTGCAAAAAATTTGAATGCTGTGAGATACAGCCATGGCCATGGTTCATAAAGTGCAAACAATTGTTTTAGCTGTCTGCCAGCTAGTAGCTATGAATGGCCCATACGGCAGCAATACAAATCCTTCAGTCAAACATACCCACATGATACCAAGTTGTTTAAAATGTATATTGCCCACTTGAACTATTTGTACCTCAGATGCTTAGTTCTTGGCCGTTTTTCTGTCTTTTAAAGGGAAAAGTCACATGAAAAGCAAGGTAGTATTTGGATTTATTTCCTAGAGTCCAGGTCTCAAATACCATAGAGACAAATGTCACAGCTGCCATATAAATGTTAGGATAGATGTTAGGGTTTTGGGTTTTTGCCTGTCATGGCTGACCACACCACAAAGAACCCACGTAAAACTATTAAAAAAATCTTTGAAAGCGCTTTGTCTTTCCTGGAAGTGTTGCTTAGGGTCTTGAAAGATCCAGGCCACAGTTTTCCCAGAGGAATGGCACTAGGGTCAGTGTATGTATTTTATTGTCCTCAATTTCTTTACAAGTGGGCATTTATTTGCTTTACTTTGAATTGTGATTTTTTTTCTTTTACGTCTTTTTTCATTTGGTTTTTTTTTCATTAAAGAGGATTAATTTTATTCTTTCTGTTGAGAAAGGTCAGCTTTAACAAGGTTTTTAGCAGATTGCCTTCCTGATAGGAGTTTTTATTCCTGGTCTTTCTCTGGCTTTGATGAAAGATACTATTTTTCCTCCTTATCATCCTGAATTGTGAATGATATTATTTATCAGGAAGGGTAACTTGGTTTTACATAGCTTCGTTGTGTGGTACATGTAGCTGACAATGACTGGAGAAGTCGAGGTTTGAGAAGGATGAGAGAGAGAAAGAAAAAAATTTGTGAATCCGTAGACTTAAGAGTGTACCTGAAAGCGAGGGATGATTTTGTGTGTCTTATTTTTTGATAGCTGAGTACAATTAAGAACTCCGTTCCCATCTTGCTGACTGAACCCAGTAATTATTAGGAGGATGTTGCCTGGCTTTTGTCTTCAGCTGAATGAGCAAAGTCAAGATTGGATAGTAATGTCTGAGAGATAGATGTGTGCAGAGGCTGAGACAAAACAGAAAAAAAAGCTGAAATCCTGCATGCATCTTGGGCACCTGCTCGGCTCATCCTGAGTCTCAGGAAAAAGGTTCAATTTGCTGGGAACTGACAACTTGTTAGGCCACTGTAACTTGGTTGTGTTTGGTTGCAGTATTTGTCTACCTATAAATGCCTATATAGATGTATATGGCTCAACAGTGTGTGTGTTTAGGTGTAAATCAGCAGAAGAGAGTAAGTGATTTTTTTTGAACAGCTGGACCCAGTGTTTCTGAAGAGTTTGGGTCTGAAACACTACAAAGGATCTTTTTGTGCCTTCCTGGTAAAAATTAAGCCCATTGACGTCTGCCAGAAGGTCCTGACATGCAGATGTGCTTTTCCATTGCCTGTGGAGAGGCACATACTTCATGTGATAGTTTCTTCCTTTATTTTCAAAACATGCTTAGTATTACATAAAGATCTAATTGTTAGGGATCCCAGTTTTACTTTGGCAGCATGAGATTGGAAGAAAACTCCCTTTTTATATATGACACTATAGCTTTATTTTTGATTAATCAGAATTGTGGCAACTGATGAATACCTCTTTAGGAGAAAAAACATGGATATAATCTTCTGCAGTATGCATGACTGCATGAGTGAGTGGTACAAAAGCTGGCATTTTTCTCTGCTGTTGGCAGTGGGTTACTGCCATTTATGGCATTTATTTTTTCAGAAGAGCAAACACATTCAGTAATAAAATCAGAAAGCAGATTGAATAGCTTTCAAAACCTCACACATTGGCAAAGCAAGATGTGTGATTGTCCTCAGCAACTGCCTCCTTTTCATGAGCTGCAATAAGTGTCTTCAAACTAAACTGAATTCGTATTTTTTCCAGGTGTATAATAATCACATTATGGTATTAGACTGCATTTTGAACTTTGGAAAAGGAGTCAAAGCACTTTTTACCTGCTGATTTTGCTAGCAGTTTTCACAGTTTTCACTGAAGGAGCTATTAGTGCCCAAGCACAACTCCAAATGCTGTGTTAGCGAGGTGAGTGCAAAAAGGGAGTGCCAGCTCAAAGTAGAACACAACGAATGAATCCAGTTACCAGAAGAGGGCTGGCTGTCAAAAAACATAGATTACTTTATGCTTTTCCTAATCCTCATAGCAGAGTATGCTCAGTCCACACTTGGATTTATTTCATTGTAGCCAGCATTCTGACATTTCTGTGGCAGACATTGTTCCACCTTCTGTATTTATCCTCCTTAGCTCATAAAGAAGATTGTTATGGGAAGTGTAGAGCAGTATGCAACATCCAGTTTAAAATAGCGTACTTGGGATATGAGTTTCTCTATGGACTACTCCCAAGACAGCAAAGGGAGAGAACCTGGACAGTTCTGTGGAAAGTGTTCTTAATAGGGCTAGTAGAAGTATTTTGGCATCCATGTTGTTAATTTTACCCTAAGAGTCCTTATCCAGTACATCAGTTTTAATATTCTTCATACTGAAATCTAGTCTTCATGGTCTCAACCACTGAGTGAATAAGGAACGACAGTATTGCAACAGCTCTAACAGTGAAATGGGCATGTTGGGCACCTACCCTTCCAAAATCAGGAGGAAATAATCGGTTAATAAGTAACCTAATAAATATGCACACATCTTATTTTTTATTATTTTTTCATTGTTTTTTGTGTAATGAGCTGTTAGGAGAAACTTGGATGATGTTTCTAAGTCAGATTTGTAACCCGGTAGGCAGGATTCTCAAGAAATCATATGACTTAATGTTCTGGGGTTTAATGTTAAGTCCTGCATATCTTGAAACACCACGGGAGCTGGCAGCACAGCAAGGGCATCATAAAGGTTTATAGAGCAGCACAACCAAACCATAAGGCTTTTAAGGTGATCAGGACTAGTGTCATGGTTATATGTGTATATTAGAGCATTTCTGTGGTGGAACACACAAAGGACTAAAATTCTAGATAAAGACTTTAATAGATCATGATTTTGGGGAAACTAGTGCATGAAACCTTTCTAACCTGTCAATTCAAAAGTACAACCCAATGGCAAAAAATTATCGGCCTGTTTCTGTGTCATGTTTCTTTGTTGTCCTTGTGATGAATGAGGTATAGGAGTTGGGTAGCTAGCTTTGGGGGTGTTTATCCCACAGAAAACATTTCCAGCAGAGGCCTTCCAGGTGACCAAGAATGCAGAAAGACTCCCACGATTAAAAAATATGCCATTAGAAGCAAAAGCATTTTAGTAGTTAGAATGGGTAGAGAACAGATATGGAAATGACCTATCTTTGAGCATGGAGGGCTTGAACTGCAATTTCACCGCTTCCCCCTAAACTATTATGTATGTTGAAGTGTCAAGCACAGGTATTACTACACTTCAGCTGTGCTGCATTAGAAAACAGAGATGGTGGAAGACAAAGATCTGTGGCCACTAGCTTAAATAAGTATAAATTAGTGATAATATTTTGCTTGCTCTTTCACTCATAATTTATGATTAATCTAATCCTGCCTTTTTGGTAGAAAATATTAAAAGAATCTATTTTCAGTTCTTATGTTTCAAACCTGTAGACTCGAAACAGGGCAATGGAGGGCCAGAATGAGTCTCTAGTGTCATCAAGTCCAGCCCACAATTTTATCAATTTTATGCCTCTCCCGCCTCTTCCCTCCCCGCCCCCTCTGCCAGCAGCTACATCATGTGACTCCCTTCTTAATTAATCAAACTGTATCTTAAAAAACAGTGGACATTTTTCCCCTTTCTACAGCTGTTATGTTGGTTGATGATTGCTCTAGAAACTCGCTCCCTGATATAAACTTTCTCCTAATTTCTGTGTATCTGAATTCAGGGACACTTTTTAACTTTAGAGCTTGTACTGTCATTGAGAACGTGTTCTGTTTTTCTTCTCTTTGTGCTTCTTGATGTTTATCTCTTTCACCTGCACTTGCTAAGCTAAACAAGTTAAGCTCTTCTAGTGTCTCTTGCCTACTAATCTACTAGTTTCCTGCTGTCTCCACAACCTCTCTCTTATTTATTCTCATTTGATTTCCAAACGTCAGTGACCATGATTATCTACATTTTTCTGGGTGACATGTCACCATTACCTTGTACAGTGACATCAAGATTTGTTTTGACTGAAAACACCTGACAGATCAGATTTCTTCTTGCCCTTTTTGCAGCTGGATCATAAATCTTACTCAGACTATGATCAATAAATATGCAACAATTGTTCTCTTCAAAAGAAATCTCATGTACCGTTGTATATCAGATACTTTCATTCCTAGTCCTTTTTAGCTTCTTTTTAATTATTGCTCAGTTTCTGGTTCAACATTAGTCCACTATTTTCTTCTTTCCAGCTCATAGTACCAAAAAATTTCTACAGTGCTCACAGAAGAACTGATGTTAGGAAAAGATGTTCTAATTTAGGTCTTATAGAATCATAGAATCTTCAGAGTTGGAAGGGACTTTAAAGATCATCTAGTTCCAACCCTCCTGCCATGGGCAGGGACATCTCCCACTAGATCCGGTTACTCAGAGCCTGATCTATACTAAAATCTAATTGCTTTGTCCTCACAATTTAAAGATTATACTGCTTTCCAAACGATTATCACTTATGTCCTGGAAAATGGGGAAAGACATTTATATATAAAATCCCCATCTCCCAGGTTTGGTCATGGGGAATGCCTTAAAAAATATCACATTTCCTCGTAGCTAGAAACTGCATTCATTTTCCACCACCACTACTTTTCAGAAATTCAGGAATCCTACCTTTTGTGCTGATCAAGACATTCCTTTCAGTTTTCTCTCTCTGTTTACTTGGGTTTTAGGTCAAAGGCATCATAGGCAGATGGAACTGTGCTTATGTTGCCGATTTGTTATAGATACAGTGTTTTGGTAAAAGCCGAACGTATCAACTCAAATAGAAGAAATCTCATTAAAAACTTGGATTCTGTTTTTAGTTTATAGTGATGGCATTCAGCAGTAGAATGTGTCCAGGAAGAGTTATAATGCACGGGAGCACAAGATGTTTCCTTCTCTGTGTGTTGGAAATAAAAATTTCCTGTTAACTTAGCATACATATTAAATTAATTCATACTTGTTTCTTTTATTTTTAAAGCGTGCTCACAGAGCTACATTGCTGATACTGGTGTTCTAACATCTCCTAACTATCCCAATAACTACCCTGTCCAGAGGGAGTGCATATACACCATCACAGTGGGAATAAATAGACAGATTGTGCTGCGCTTCACCAACTTCACCTTGGAAGGGAATAAACGCTGTACAGAGGATTATGTAGAAATCAGGCAAGCCTAATTGTTTCACTTGTCTTTATTACTGATAACCATGGAAGTTTTTCAAATCCACTTTTGTGTGTTCAGAAGGTATAGTTTTAACTATATGCCTGTGCTGTCAGTGTGGGTAAAAGTCTTAGTAGAGAAGTTTAAAAGCTACCTTGTCCTCCTCTCATCCTACTCCATTATCAGTTTTCCCACTTAGTAAATTCCAGTTCTCAGAGCAAGTGGAATATGTGGTTTGTGTTCTCATGCATGGCATTCTGGTTGCCTGTTTTGTGACATGTTCTCCATGATATTTGCAAAGTCATGGCAGTCAGGTGAAGTCCCTGGTGACTGGAAGCTGGAAAACATTGTGCCCGTTTTTAAAAAGGCCAGAAAGAACGACACTGGGAACTACTGACCTGCCAGCCTCACCTCAGCCTGGGAAGATCATGGAATTGGATCCTCCTAGAAGCTCTTAAGTCACATGGAGGACAGGGAGGTAATTTGAGACAGCCCACATGGCTTCATCAAGGGCAAGTCCCGCTTGACCAACCTAGTGGCCTTCTGTGATGACATGACTACTACATCAATGGGCAAGGGAAGATCTACATATGTCATCTATTTGGATTTCTGTGGGGCCTTTGACATGTTCCAGTGCAATATCTTTTTCTCTGAATTGGAGAGGTACGGATTTGAAGGGTGGACTGTTCAGAGGATGAGGAATTTGTTTGATGGTTGCATCCAGAGGGTAGTTGCCAACAGCTCAATATTCAGGTGGAGATCCATGACAAGTGGTGTCCCTCAGCAAATACTGTTTAATATCTTCATCAGTGACATAGACAGTAGGATCAAGTGCACCCTTAGCAAGTTTGCAGATGATGCCAATCTGAGAGGTGAGGTTGACACACCTGAGCAATGGGATGCCATCCAGAGGGACAGGACAGAGACAAGTAGAAGAAAGTCATATTTGCAGGAAGGTTAGATGCATGCTTTACAATGCAGCTGTGTCAAGTACACATCCTTTCTGCCATGTTGCTGTATGGAATTTGCACTTTGCAATGTCAGTGCATCCTTTTTTGTCCTCGTGAGCCAGCTCTCGTGAAACATGTCTGCAGAACATCGATGTGTTTTTTCACTTCAAGCATATCATGAGTACCCATAACCTCAATGAGTTCTGTGACAAAACTCATTCCGAACATTATGCCAAATATTCTGTATGGGTTATTCCTCGATAAGTAGCTTTTCCTTTTTTAGAACCAAATGAAAAAGCTTCTCACTGAAATTGCAGTATTTGGATTCTGAATTCATGCTGAATCAGCTGTTTGTTTTCGGCTGTGCATACAAACTGGAGAAAGTTACGAAAAAACGAAAGACTTTTTCAGTATTTTCTAAGCAAAGTGTTTATCTTTTCATTTTAAAACAATTTGAGGTTAAACTTAATCCAACTTTATTTTAACAGGTACCACCTTAATTGGGGGTAGACCTGAACTATAGCAGGGGTTTTTTTTTCCATTTTTTCACCTCATGAACTGAAAACGCTCATTTCCTGCATAAATCTAACTCCACTGTCACTGAGAAGAACTCGCCAGCATTGAACAGCTTTTCAGATATGGCCAGAACATTGCTAAGTGCAACTCAGCACATTGCTGCTGCCATAACTGGATTTCCAGAATGTCTTATCAAACCTGATACTGTTAAATGGGGTAGCTAGAGATGTCTAAGGTGAGGTGCCACTCTGGTTTCTTGTCCTGAGGTGTCCTCTGATAAAACTCATTCAAGTCAAGTAAGAAAATTGTTCATCTGACCACAACTGCTGAGGCCAAGATGCAAGTGAGGGGAGGTTCTGGCACAGTCTTCAACTTTCAGTAACCTGAGACATCAGCAAGCAGTTTAAGCTGGGAGGATGACAGAGAGGCAAGGTCTAAGTAGAAATTTCTCTTAAAAGCAGGCATAAACCTGTGAAAATATAATTGAAAATATTACTGTCTGCTTCAAAAGCATCATATTGAGATCACACCCACATATAAATATAAATGTATTTATTATTGGCCTAATGACCTGTAGGATATTGCAATATAAGTGCTTAAAGATAAGGTTAGAAAGCAGTTGATAAGCAGGTTGTCACCATCTTTTTTATTCCCATGAAACATCTGCAGGTAGTGGAAGAGAATGTTAGCTGTTGCATCCTGATTACAATATTAGAAAATATTACTTGAAATACTATGTAATTTAAAAATAGGAAATAAATGGATGTAGAAACAATTCTGAAAGCTAAGAAAATATTTCAAAACATGCATCATATCAGTTCTGACAAATGGCTTCCCGTTTGTGTGGTGGCAAATAAACATGGGGTTTTTTTTCAAGAGGTCAGCTTATCTGTTTTTGTGCCAGGCTAAACAGTGAGCAGTGAGAAAACTGCTATTTCTTCAAATTAGAAAGTTACCTTTGGTTACACCAATGATCGCCACTTGTAGAAGAAAGAAAGTCCTGCCTCTTCAGCATCAAGTTTACTTGAGACACTTCTTGAGTCTGTCCTCATATTGACAGACTGCTGAGATGAGAGAGTGCTTGTCTTATTGCAGAATTCCTCCAGTATTTGGTAGCTGTATTGCTGTGGAAGATGAAGAGCCAGGATTAATCTTTTCCAGGCCTGAAAGAATCCCAAGTTTATTAATTTGTTAACATTTCTCATATTTTCCCTTTTTTAACCAAGATTTTTCTTCTTTGTCCTTCTAGGGATGGAGGCTATGAAACTTCTCCTCTTCTTGGAAAATACTGTGGCACAGACCTGCCTCCTGTTATAATCTCTCATGGTAACAAGCTGTGGATAAAGTTTGTAAGTGATATATTTGGCACAAGAACAGGATTTTCAGCAGAGTGGGATGGTACTTCAACAGGTAAAATTACCACATAAAGTATAAAATCATTTTACACATCTCATTTTTGTCTCTCATTTGTATTTTCTTCTTCCCATCTTCTAAAATCTGTCTGCTAATTATGTGTCAACATATATTTATGTTGTTAAGGTAAAGGATTAAATTCTCTTGATCCTTGGGCTTTCTTCTTCTCCACGGGGAAGAATATACTATTCCCTAGATAAAATGTAGCATCAGCTTTTTCATGTTAGGAAAGCAGTAACCAAGAACTTAATGCGGAGGTTTCTATTTGAAGATTAACTATCTGTCAGGAGCACTCTTCAAATTAGTTAATATTTCCAGGTGCTGCAGGCTCTCTTCTGCTTACAACACTGTTGGTCACTTGCAGATTTTTGGGGCATCACTGAAGATGTTTGGGGCATGTGAAGGAAGTCAATAGTGTGAATCTCACACATCATGTCTAATTCTCTAATCTTCTGTGTCTTATATGGTGGTTTGGTTTCTTTGCCACTTTCAGGTTGTGGTGGGACTTTGACAACATCTTCTGGTATCTTCATGTCCCCCAACTACCCTATGCCGTATTACCACAATTCAGAGTGCTACTGGCTGCTCAGAGGAAACCGAGGAACCCCATTCGAAATCCAGTTTGAACAGTTCCATGTAGACTACCACCCAAACTGCAACTTGGATTATCTTGCGGTATGTACTTTGTTTCATAGGAGAGAGCTGAGTATGGTGAGTAAGCAGGCAAGGAAAGATATGTGGCCCTTGTCTTTGAAATATTCCCTTTGAAAGGGAATAGGAATAGGAGACCTCTTTGCTGACTTGCTACTCTCATATCATGGAGAAGTGAGAGGTAAGGCAGCAGCGTCTCTGTAGCAGGTGTTAAGGAAAGCATTTATGTCTAGATAGAAAGGCCACTGAAGCAAGAATCTCTTCATATGTTTTGAATTTGCTGTGATTTGGACACAGGCCCTAGTGTGCTTTCTTAGTAAATTACAATGAAAAAGGCACAACAGTGTCAATAATCTTATTGTTGATCCCAAATTTCATATTTGAATTGTTGTGTAAATTATGTGAATATTTTTAATAGAGTTGAAATGGAGTGCTATTTTCCCCTATTGATGAGTAAGCCCCTCAATACCCACTAGTATTTAGTTCCTAGTTTCCTGTTTTTCCACTGATTTGCTTGTTTTTGAAAAGCCTGTCAGGCTTCCTCTGAACAGAAATAGAATTTAACCTCTTGTATATGCAGTAACAATTCCCTAAGCAGATGTTTGTCAGGGGGAAATTACTTGGATTTATAATGCCATTGACTTAATTAATTTTTATTTTATTTTGGAAGGTATATGATGGCAACAGCAGTAATGCTAGACAGCTTGGAAAATTTTGTGGGAATCAGATACCACAACTCATCCGTTCCAGTGGAGACAGTGTGTATGTAAAACTAAGGACAGATCACAGTCAGCAAGGTGGAGGTTTTTTAGCCAAATACAAACAGGGTAAGTAAAAGAAAATGAGGAAAATATGTTTCTACAGTTCAAAGTGTTCCTGAAACTGCTTCTTGCAGCCAATAGTCTTACATATTCATGAACAGAGGACAATGTATAGAGTGTATTATCGACCCATATTCTCTAGTCTGGTATAGTCACAGAACATGGAGAGCTAAAATTATCTGCCTGTCTACTTATGATGGAGATTTTCTCCTTCCTAGAAGAAATCTGGTGAGGTGGATCTACTTCTATTACTTGCACCAGTGGCATTCACCACTGTAGATTTACTCAGAAAAACAAGTGCTGGAAATCTGTAACAGGATAGACTGGACTGTTCTTGCTCTTCTGCTTACCTGCTTTCCTGAATTTTTTTGGATCCCTCATTCCTTAAAGTGGTCACAGCTTCATCTACTATGTATTTTTTAGACTGCAAAGTCAAGATGATATATTAGAAAAAGACTACCCCTCTTTCATTAATTAAACAGAAAGAGCACTTTCAAATGACTCAGATGTAGAACTTGAGCTATTGGATAATTTGATCTACTGTTTACATTCATATTTAATTCCTGAAGATGCATCAGAGAAAGCTTTCAGTAGCTTGCCCAAAAGCTAAAATTATGTACAAAGTAGTGCTATAAAATAAGGATACTTAGATGCCAGATGCATTTACATGTACATGAAAGAAATGTAATGATGAACTAAAAAATACTGTAAAGCAAAACAGTATCCCATTAAGATTCAAAGGCACCTTTGTGTCTGTTATGTTTCTAATAAAATGCTAATGGCAGGGGGCAGCAGCTTTTACCTATCTTGCATTCTTCAAAATCCATTTTGTTCTCTTCATTCTGTCCTTTTGAACGGTTGTATGCTTCAGTGTAGCTTTGCAGACGAGCTCTACCTGACCCTGACCCTGAATCTCAGCTGTGTCCTCAGCATTTTGAAGTCGTAAAAACACAGACCTTGCTGATCTGTAAATCATTTGAAAAGAATAAAAAAAAATTGCAGGAGGTAGGTGCATTATCCCTAGTGACAGACAATAGAAGAGTTTTGCAAGTGAATCGCAGCTATTTCTGTAGTTCAAACACTGCAGATCTGCTCTACAAAGTGAAAAACCTGTCCTGCTCTCCCACTTCCAGCCCACTTCTCTGTGCAATACCCTGGTCTGCTTTCCTTACACATTGTGTGTTTTTGCCAGGAAGAGCATTGCCCACATCGATATTTTCTGTCCCTAGTGCAAGTTGGATACAGGAAAATGAGACTCACTGACCTAATGCCATAATTGTAATCTCAGTCTTTGTCTAGTTTAGATTCTTTTTCATTTTCTCTGTACTTGAAGGAAAGCTCCCATTATTCTTTGTGATTTTCCATTTCTTATGCTAGAATCCCATTGGATGGCTCACAAGGAAAATGTCTCCTTTTAAAGAATTTCATGGTCTCTTCCAGTTGCTGGAGCTAGAAAATCCAGTACAAGTAGTGTGCATTCCATTTGTTGTTTTAGCCAGGGATGATAGTTTTTTTTCTAGTTTGCTGAACTAAACCACTTTAATCCATTAGTCGATTTTTGTTGAGCACCCTCCCAAAATTGCTTTAAAGGACAGGACAAATTTCTATTATTATCTTAAAAAAATAAATAAAAGAAAACATGTTTCAGAAATAACTATGTATTTAGAATTCAAGAAAACTGCATATACTGATGAGTCTGCAAGTGTCAGAAAAGAAGGACGTAACAGAGCTGAAGGATTCAAGTTTGGAAAGGCTGGATTTTTTTGCAACATATGCCACATATTGTTCGATAAGTCACACTTCTCTTTATGCATGATTTCTCTGTGAATAAAAATATTTTTCACCTTGTAATGCTATCACTAACTTTATTATTTTTTTGTGATACTGGGTTACTAAGCACTGCACAAATTTTTTTTTTTTTCAGTTTGCCATGAAGTACTCACTGTTAATCGTAGCCATGGCATATTGGAAAGTTTAAATTATCCAAATAATTACCCACTAAATGAGCACTGCAGCTGGACTATCCAAAGTACAAAGGGGAGCACACTCAACTATAGCTTCACAGCCTTTGATTTAGAAGATGGATCTGACTGTGACCGTGACTTCTTGCAGGTATGTACCCTGATTCTAGAAACAAGAAAAATCATGTCTTCACCAATAGACAAAAAAACTAAGGATATAGAAGACCAAGGGGTAATTTATCTAATTTAAATTTAGCCATTAAAACTCAAGTGTTAAATCCAAATAATTTGTGCCCATTTCCTCTGCGATCAGTGGGGAGTGAAGCATTGCCAGGGAGTGTTTCATCCTACCTGACAATGGGTGTCTGCAAGAGGGAGGAGGAATCATTTTGCAGGTACCTAGATTTGCTACAGAGTCTGGCTACCACCTTGGATTAGATGCACTGGCTTTTGTGGGTTGAGATGTCATCATTCCAGCTTCATGTAAAGAAGAAATCCTGAGATTAGTAAATTAATTGCAAAAGGCAATGACCCAATTATTTTCCTCTTGTTTTCACCTGAGAAGGACTGGGGAATGTTCAAAAACTTTAAAATGCATTATTTCTCTATGTTTTAAGAGAGTGTGGCTGTGTCTCCTGTTTATATTTTCCTTTTCATAATTAATCTGTTTCTTTAAGAGGACTAAAACTGAATTCACTCGCAGACAAAATGAGACATTTTTAGCCAAATAAAACCATCCAGTCAATCTGAAGCCAAGTAGCCGTTACTTTCATGTTCTCAATTTATTTCTAAGACAACTGAAAAGATATTTTCTCTCAGTTTTTTACTTTGTATTGTGGGAAGTAGAGTGTGCGGTCATGATCCTGCCTACAATTTTGCTCTGTTGCTGCACTAATCCATCCTTCAGAACTCACCCTTGTACAGGATGACAGCACGTAGCCCCTGTGCTCTACTTAACTTTTGCACAAGAGGAATTGAAATTTAAAGAAGTGTTAGAGAGGACTCCTTTCAGCCAAGGGAGGGCTAACAAATAGTGTCCTCATTTCTGGGGAAACTTGCATGCGCTGGGGTCTTGCAGAATATCCAGCAACAGGCCTGGTGATGGGCTAATCTGTTCTCTCTAGATGTCCTCCCCTGCTCCCTCCACCTCCTTGCTGTGCCAGCTTTCACAGCTCAACATTGGTAATGAACTAGCAAAAGTGGTGTTCTTCCAGCTTACTTCTCTTTGTGGCCAGGAATGGAAAGAAGGAATAGATATGTCAAGAAAATAAACAAGGGAACACTGTATTGAGAGCTACCTATTAAACCCTGGCTCATTTTTGTGAGGAGGCTGAAAAGGAAACATTGGAGCCAACTGGAGAGGCCAGTGCTAGTCCCAAGATGTCCAAGCCCTTGATCCATGAAAAGAGGAGCCCTGCACACAGTGGGCAGCCAGCGAGGAGCAAGAGACTTGCCAGAAGACACTATTCTAGACATAAGTCAAGGCTGGTGGAATAGTGCCAAAGGCAAAGACCTGATCCAAAGTGCTTAAAAGAACAGAAATAAAACATAGTGAAGGGAGTGAGTAGACAGAGAGAAGAAAAGTACTTACACTCTCTGTTTTAACAACTTTTCAGTGCTTCCCATCAAAGACTGCAAGAGATATAAAGAAGAAATGCAAGGGAAAACCAGAGTCATGGAAGTGTGTTAGGGAGGCTTTAATTTGCACTTCATGTGACATTACTTACAAATCTTCTCCAAATGCCATTGAGAAATACCACTTGGAAAAGATGGTCTCATTTGGTTCTTGCAGGCTGCACAAATATGTGCCATAGTGTAAAAAAGAGAACAAGGTTGAACCAGACAGGGAACTGAATAGTGTTTGCTCCCACCCTGTGTCTTGCGAAAGGGGATCGTGTTGGCAAAGCTCTGAGCACTCTGTGGTGTAGGGGAAAGGGGGAATCATCTGGAACGAGTGTGCTGTTCAATTTCTAAGCACACTGCATATATCTGAGGCTTTTTCTGTCTCATTTCCATGTAGAGTCTGACGCCACTGCAAACTGGA